CATGCCACTTCCTACATCATATGTCAACTTCAGAATTCCGAATCTCAGCCAGATCCAGAGCTATTGCAGCGGGGAAAGCAGACGCTTCGAGCTATGCGGGATCTTCACGCCAATAGTGATAGCAGAGTGTGGTCATTCTTAAAGAATAAAATTGACCACGTTTTGTCCCCGGCGCCTGACCGGATCGAATTTTCTGATTTGCCCGACTTGCCCGACCCCGGGGGCTTCGACCCTTCATCCATAGTGGCGGATATGGATTTTTCTAGAATCGATGATTGGCTGACACACCCAGAGGATATTACCTGAATTGAGACCTTGGTCGACCCGAGAGGGTGTGCTTGTCGAAGCAATATTTTTGTGCGTGTTTCTTTTATCCTGTACTTTTCATCCTGTGAGATGAGGTAGCGAATTTGGTATATTAGCAGAAAGCAACAGCCATGGGCATGTGCAAACTTGTCATATTTGTTCATTCCTGCATGCTACGCGCAGGAAAATCACGTCTAAAAACAATAACAGAAACCAGACAGAGGGTGTCCGTAAGCAAACCAGTGAGATCTGGTCACGTAGTTATCCTGATTGATGAATAACCCCAATGACCAATAACTAGACGTTCCTCCCCCAACAACAACAACAACAGAAAAGGGGGTAGGCAATCATTGACTGGCTATCACCAGTGACTTCACGCAGCAACATGTGTGGGACGTCATAAAGGAGTGTTCTGATTGACCTATGTGGCTAGCTTAGAGTTACATTTGAAGCGGGTTGGAGCGGATTAAGAGCTCATTCAACCCACACCACTGCGGGTTCGGGTTGAATGAACAGAATCCGAATCCTCTCCAAAATCAGTACTAAGTCTACTTAGGTGGAACATGTGATACACTAAACCAACCATGGTTAGCTTTGGATTGGATTGGATTCGGAGGCACCTGAAATCCAATCCACATTTCTTCAAATTTATTAAATACAGGTAATCAGAATCAAGTCTGGGTACTTTAAACACAAAATCACAACTTCATATTTCCAGGTTTTTATATTGACTGTATTCAATGACGCCCTTAGCTCAACCATTAACAAATATAATTAGCGATAGCAATCCAAGATAAGCAAAATCCATCACCTGTTCACAATTGTACACTTATATATAGCAGTACTACATATATGTATGGACTACAAGTGTCAGTGCATAACATAACCAAATCACTTGGTTTTTGTCGTGGGCTCAACGGAACTTTTTACTCATACATTATCTAAGCAGCTAGTGGCAAGTAACTAAATTGATACAAGGAGAGAAGAAAGAAGAATGATCTGCAGCCTACAAGTTTTGATATTTACTCACCTTTGTAATATGACTGTATTATCTTTATTTGGAGGCTGTGTACACGCAATCCACGCAATCCAATCCAACCCACACCAAATGGATTCTCCGAATCCACTGCGGGTTGAGAAAATCTCTGTTACAGGCCTAGCCACATCAGTCTCACGTGACGATGCGGGAAGTCAAGGCAGAATCATTGAATATGGATAAAAGAACGATTAAGTGAGCAAGGCAGGGATAGTAGTAGTAGTGTGTGTGTGTGTGTCTCTATTTAACGTCGAGGGTCGGGTCTTTCCATGCCTCTACAACTCCTTGAGAGCCTCGGAAGCGGAAGAGCCCTGGTCCCGGTGCGGGACATACGACGGGCAGATCGGAACTGCCTTTCTTCTAGCTAAACTACCATCTATCATCTAAATACAGGTGGCCCCCCGCGCGGGGGGCTGCTTGGGTTTTTTCCAACTGTTAAACAGTAAACTGCGCATCTTGGGGTTTTCTTGGAAAGGAAACCGAGGTGGGAGGAAAACAGGAAAGAGGGGGGTGAACAAAAGGGGAAAATGGGGTTAGAGAGAAACGCCTGAAAGGAGGGGGGAGGGATGGAGGAGGAGGGGGGAGTCAGAGGTAAGCCTATGAGTTCCCAGATTGATGTGTTTAGCATCCTAATAGCGTTTACAGATGGCTGTGTAAAACTGTGATTTCCTCAGCCTGTCTGCGTATGCAGTGAATCCTGTCTTTTTGGTAAGGATGTCTGATACTGGTTGTTGGCCCCATGGATGTGCTTCTGCTTTGCGACCTTTGCGGCAAAAATAGAAGTGGGAGGGCTCTTTTCTGCGGCCGCATGAGCATGTCAGCAAAGCATCGTCATGTTTAAAGCGCTCATGGTACTCTGCAAAGTCGCCATGACCGCTCCTGGCAGCAAGGAGGCGGCCCAGAGTTGCTCGGGGAAGCTGGAGCTCTGGTGGTCGCTTCTCTATGCCTATACCGAGGTCCTTGTAGCGTTTGGAGGCTTTTTCTGTCCAGAATTGTGCAAAGCATTGCCAGTGCACCCTCTGAGCTGCCCGCTTGGCGGCTGCCAGTGAGGCTGGTGGGGGAGGGAGCTCCACAGGAGCTTGGCAACCCATCTTGGCCTCCTTATCTGCTTCTTCATTTCCTTCAATGCCTGAGTGTCCAGGGACCCACTTCACCTGCACTGTGCCTGACTGTATGCCGGGTGCTTTGGGGTGTTGTGGCCATGTCCGGGCAGCCTCTTGAAAGTTCATGAAGATCGATTGACTCGAACCTTTGGGTTGACGCTGGAGTTGCTGTACTGCTTCAAGATTGTCCAGGCAGATATATATGTTTGTGGAGTGCTGGGTTTTGGGATCCTTTAGGGCTGCCTGTAGGCCCAGCAGGGCTGCTCTAGCCTCTGCATCGAAAACCTCATGGTTGGGGAGCTTTGCATGTCCGCTGAAGATCTTGGTCTTGCTGGTTCCCCAATAGCCTGTCCAGCCAGCTCCTGCAGCCGTGCCTTCTTTTCCTTTGGACCCATCTGTATAGACAACCATTGACAGTGGTGGGATGAAATCAAGCCATCTCTGAAACTCCTCCCTGGCCTGTACCTTTGGGGTAGTGGTTGGTTGCTCTTTGGGCTCAAGGTCTGAGTCCCAGGGGCTTGTCAGCAGCGGGTCCACTTGCTCAATGGAGTGGAAGTTTTTCGGGTCAGCAGCCCGGAGTAGGCGGGTACTAATATATCGGTTTGGTTGGTGCGTGACCCGGAGGTGCAGGGGGTGTTGGATGTCTAGTTGGTGGATTCTGATGGCCAGGTTCCGCCGTCTTTGGTCAAGGAGTAGCTCCATGGGCGGTATGGCTGACTCCCGGTGGAGTACGGCTGTTCGGGTGGTCCTGTAAACTGGGAGGGTCCCTAGGAGCGCATTGCGGAGTACCTGATCCAGACAGGCTACCTGGGCGCCCACCCCGTTGGAGATGAGTTTCTGTCTGCCTGAGAGGTCCTGTCTTAATCTTCTCCGCCCTGGCCACCATGCCTCAGCCCCATAACACAGGACTGAGACCACACAGGCAATTGTTGCTTGCCGCAGTAGGGGAGCTTTAACTCCTCGTACAGTGTTAGCCAGGGCTTGTATGCCATTAGCAGCCAGTTTTGCCTTGGCCGCCAGTGTCTGGGTGTGTATTCTGAATTTGAGTTTCCGGTCAAACCAGATACCCAACCATCGTGTGGCCTCATTGAGTTGGGGAGGTTTAATCTCCGCTGTGCCTTCCGGGGTTTGGATTGAACAGGTGGGATTGTTCCTTTTCCATCCCTTGGCAAAGTGTTGGAGTTCTGTTTTGGCCAGGTCAAAGGTGAGGCCCTCTCTTTGGCCCCATTCTATCAGGTCCATTGCAATGTTTTGCAGTCTGGTAGTGTTTTCTTCAAGGGATTTGCTGATGACCAGTTGGCAGATATCATCTGCATATCCAAAACGACCTCTGTGTGCAAACATTGGCCCGATCCTGAAGATGGGTTCAAGATACAGCATGAAGAGGATTGGTGACACTGGGGAGCCCTGAGGCAAGCCTGCTGGGACTGCAAAAGTTTGGCTCTGGTGTCCATCCAGCCTTATGGCTGCTGTGCGGTCTTGGGTAAAGTTCAGCACCCAGTGGAGCACTGTGGGGGGCCATCCTTGGCTTTGGAGTCGTTGTATTAGCCTGCCTGAGAGGACAGCATCAAACGCGCCAGTGCTGCTGCCAGGTCAGTGGCAGATCGGCAGGGAAGAGCCCCAAACTGTTGAGGATGCAGGATCTTGTGCTTGATAGCTATCCAGGCAAGTCTGCGGGCCATCAAACGTTCCAAACCTTTCCCTAGGGTGGAAAGGAGGGCAATCAGTCTGTATGAGTGTGGGCTGCTGTAGTCTTTCTTCCCTGGTTTTGGGAGGGCTACCAACAGGGCTTGTCGGAAGGGAGTTGGGTGCCATCCTGTTGCAGCACATTGCTTGTAGAGGGCTGAGATATGGGGGCCAAGTGCAGGCCAGGCCTTCTTCAAAACCTCATTGGATATCTCATCCTGCCCGGGTGTGCTACTCTTGGCTCGGAAAATGGCTTGGTAGACTTCCCTTGTTGTGATAGTTGGAAATGGAAGGGATGTCTCTGAGCTATTGCTGGGCTCAACGGGGATGTCATCCATGCAGGCCGCCTTTTGAAGTAGGGTTTTTGTCACGGGCTCGGAATAGTAGATAATAACGAACTGAATTCCTATCTAGACTATTGTAGCCATCGACGAGAATATCGAATCTGGAGAAGAAAAGAGAAGAGGAAATCTATCTAGGTAATGAAGGGGTTTTATAGAGGTTGTTGGCGACATGGTTGAGTAGCAGCATTTGCGATGTATCATTCATTGCTGCAGTGTTGAGCCGTCATATATGAGCCGTCATATATGAGTCGTCACAGTTTTCACCAGGAGCTCTGCTTTGGCATCAGGAGTGGTGTGAACTGTTCCTCCATTCTTGAGAGGTGGGATTGGGAAGGATCCCACTGTCCTATTCCACTTGATTGCTCTGAAGACATCCTGGCTGTCAGTGAAGCTGTCCAGTTGTGTTTGCCAGTATTGGCGTTTTGCTTGGCGTACTGTGTGGCGGAAATTTCGTTGTGCTGTTTCTCTTTCAGTTTGGGGGCTATCTGGGTCTTGTGAGACTCTTCGGAGCACTACTACTGTGTCCTGGCAGTCCTTGTTCCACCATCTATGACCTGATGGGTGAGCATGGGCTCTTTTTGTGGATGCTTCCAGGGCATTTGTGATTGCTTGTGTGATTGCAGAAGTGTAATGGTCTAAAGCTTCAGGTGTGAGGTCTTGCTGTGCTGGTGGTGGTTTGCCCAAAGCTGTTGCTTCCTTGTGGATGACTGAATGAAAGATGTCTTCCTGCATAGTGGCCATTCGGAGGGGCGGCACAGGCTTTGTGTTGTTGATAGGGTGCCAATGGACAGTTGTGGACAGAGCTGTGTGGTCTGCTAGGACTGGGAATCCTGGTGTTGGCTCTGTGTGTGTTCCTAGGCAGACCAGAGGCCTATTGGCCCATGCAAGGTCAATGGTGTTGCTATCATGTGTTGGGGTGTTTGGCTCAAGCATCAAGGTCATCCCCTGATGATCTACCCATTGCAGGAAATGCTCTGCTCCTGCTGAGTTGATTGTATTGGTCTGCCAGGATGAATGGTGGAGATTGAAATCCCCTGCAACCAAACAGGGCCTGGAAGGGAGGGTCTGGCTTAGGAGGTGTTTCAGCCCCTCCCCTGCCTCCACAGAGCCAGGGGATAGTAGTAGTAGTAGTAGTTGCTATTTAACGTCGGAGGTGGGACGTGCGTCAAATCAGGTGCCCACAGAGATCCCGGAACGGAATATACGACGGGCGAAGCGGCCTCGCCTATCTAGTAGCTAAACTAATTCTATCACACATGCTGGCAGAAGCTCCCAGACAGGAGCTTGCCTAAGATTCTTGGGCCGCAAAGCGGCAATATGCATTCTGTGGAGGAAAGGGGACGAAGGAAGGAGGGGTAGGAGAGGAGGGTGAAAAGTTTTCAAAGTGTGGGGTTTAGTGCGCTGGGCATACTGTGTGGTAGAAGTGAGATCTTTGCAGCCATTTATGGAAGTCTCTTGTTCCTGACTTCGTGCGCAGGATCTCATCTACCTGCTGGTTTCCCCATGGGTGTGGGGACGCCTTGTGGCCCTTTCTGCAGTAGAAGAAGTGGTGGGGGGTCTTTAAGTTCCTGCATGAGCATTCTAACTTGGCATCTTCGTGTCCAAAACGCTCATGGTATTCGGCAAAGTCTCCATGGCCTGTCCGGGCGGCTAGAAGTCGGCCGAGGGTGCCTCTAGGGAGGGATAGTTCGTGGGGTTGTTTGACCAGGCTAATAGAGAGATCCTGGTATTGCTGTGGTGCGTTTTCAGTCCAATATGACTGAAATCGTCGCCAGAACTCCTCCTTCATTGTTCGGCAGGCCCAGGCGTATCTTGCAGGAGGGGGAGTGATCTGTGGGGTAGATCTAGCTCCTTTTTTTGCTTGCTCGTCCGCAACTTCGTTCCCTCCAATGCCTGCATGTCCAGGGATCCAGCAGACATGCACCTTTCCAGGTGGGATCACCGTGCATCGGGGAGACCGATTGGGCCAGGCGTTTGCGGCTTCTTGGAAGGCCAGGATGGTGTTCTGACTGGAGCCCCTGGGGAAGCCCTGCAGCTGTCGTGCTACTTCCTGGTTGTCAAGGAGGACATATAGGTTCTGAGTAAAGGGTGCCTGGGTGCTGTTGAGAGCAGCCTTCAGCCCCTCAGTTGCTGCAGTTGCCTCTGCATCAAAAACCTCGTGCTGTGGGAGAGAGAGGTGGCCGCGGACAGACTCTTTCTTCCATATGCCCCAGTATCCAAACCAGCCAGCGCCAGCTGCAGTGTATGAGCTGCTCAAGCGGCTGCCGTCTGTGAAGAGGAACATGGAGAGTGAGGGGCATGAGTCTGCCCAGTACTGAAAGTCTGCACAAGCTTTTTCTCGGATGGAGCAGATATTTTGGAATGTTTTGAGGTTCTCTGGTTGCCAAGGGGGATAGATCAGAGGGTCTGTCTGTTCTGTTCCCTCCAGCCACGGCAGGTGATTGCGGGTTAGGCGTGTATTTAGTA